CTTGGTTTTAAATACTATTGGACTACGGTATCCACAGGACATCAATACCGAGCTCCTCCCTCTCCCCCACGGATACCAAAAATCACAGAAATAAAAAAACTATAAAATAAAATAGATAAAATATATCTAGCATAGTCTTTGGTTTCCTCTAGTGGTCATTTTTGTAATACAACTTGGAAACATTTCTGGGTTTTTTTATTTAATATTTTCAGGAATTTGATGAGTGAAACTAGGGGTACTGATCCCACAGATACAGCAGCCCTACTGTACTGCCTTAGTTCAGGGTATCTTCCACAGTCCAACAAAACGTGCACAGTGACCCTCGGGTGTTGTGCTCAGGAGACTGGCAACAATTAATTAAATGGAAACTGTTCTTAAATACTATAACACCATAAGATGTATGTACAGTGTATTGCAATGTCAATATGAAAGTTGTATATTCCTTACTAACATAATGAGAACATGTGGCTTACTCTCTGATTTTGAATGTTTTTCCCCCAATTTCCATTAAGGTTTCCAGATGGATGTTCACGTAGCTTTTCCACTGAACATTCTTAAATGCTTCTGCATATTTCATGTCGATGGGATGGGGGAACATCTGGATGCCCCCAAGGGGGTGTGTTCAGAGACAGTGTAGTCCCAGCGCTGCAGTATAAAATGTTAATTCAGAAAGAAAGCATAAACTGGGAAGAATTGAATCTGTGGCCTCCCAAATATTAGATTGCAATTTCCGTCATTCTGGACTATAGTGTTTAGGGCTGATTGGTGTTCAATTTCAACCACAACTACAGGATCCTCACTCTGACATTATACTTCTCCTTGAATTACATGGGTTTTAGTAGCATGGTTTTGGTTATACACTGATTTTTCCTCAATAAATAAATAAATATTCAATAACCAAATACCATATTCAATAAATACTGGCTATCCAGATCCAGGGGGATGAGTTCAAGACCAAAGGTGTTGAAGTGGTCTTTAAGATTCTTTACCCACAGTACTGCATGGAAAAGATTGCCAATGCTATGGAAGTGAATCCCGAGAGAGAGAACTGTTCCTGTTCACTCGCTGCCTCTGTGGGTATCTCTATGTCCATTAATCAGCTCTTTATGCTTTGTAGTTATGTTTTGGGGAGCACAGGAGTTCTACACAGATTTTGAACTACACGGGGGTCCGACACCCTAACCCCAGCATTGTTGAAGGGAGAAGTGTAGATTAACTTCCCTGTATTTGTCAATCTGATTAGCTAAATGCAGGTTCTAAATATAAATAAAATATTATTTTTTAATATTAAATGATGACAAAAAAGAAAGGCCTGTGTCCACTGTGATCTGATGAACCTGTTTTTGGTGCAGGATATTGGAGTGTGATGATCTGGGTCTAATATTGTTAAGTAAAGGAGTAATACTGAGACAGATGAGAATAAAAAAATTATGTTGTGCTGTGTTGGTAACAAAGAAATACAAGTGGTGCCTCGCTAGACAGTAACCCCGCATGACAGTTTTTTCGCTAGATATTGACTTTTTGTGATCGCTATAGCGATTCGCAAAACAGTGATTCCTATGAGGGAATTTCGCTGGACAATGTTTGATCCCTGCTTCGCAAACTGATTTTCGCTAGACGACGATTTTGACAGCTCCCACCGTGCTCGCGAAACAGGTGTTGCGAGGGACCTAAGCTTCGCAAGACAGCGATTTAAACAGCTGATTGGCGGTTCACAAAGCGGCTTTCCTATGGCCAATCTTCGCTAGACAACGACAATTCTTCCCTATTGGAACGCATTAAACAGGTTTCAATGCATTCCAATGGGGAAATGCTTTTCGCTAGACAATGATTTCACTAAACAGCGATTTCAGTGGAACGGATTATCGTCTAACGAGGCACCACTGTACAGGATTATTTTCCTTCCTCCTATTGCATGCCATATAGTGTGAAATCTAGGTTTTGTGCTCCAGCTATTGGGATCAGAATGTTGGGTGAAACATACATTTAATATCTGAAGAAAAGGTTTAAGAAAACAGAATGGCTTTTCATGTTTCAGAAGAAAGTACTGAGATGTTCTTTGTCCATTTGCTCTTGGCCAACAGTAGTCCCTAGGAAGAGTATCCTTACAGTTTTATTCTGAAACTGTAGCCAGAGGAGATTCAGGAGCAAAACCAGGAAGTGAATGTGAACTCTTATCTGTATGGAATACTTCAGGGAAGACCTACAAAGGGAAAGCAGGTTTTAGAAAATGCCAGCACCACTGTCTCTTGGTAATTGGTTCTTTGCCCCTCCTCCATTTTACCTGGTCTCTTATGCGGAAAGGAAAGGTTTTAAAAGGTGGCAGAATTTGGTTGTAAAATTAAAGGAATGAATTGTGTGCATATTATTTAATAATCATTAATAAATTGTAATGACAGCAATTCAAACAATTCATTTTCTTTTTTCGCTTTCTTTCAAGTACTTCCCTTTGTGGATTTACATATAGCTCTGCACAGTTTCTGGCAGTTCTTCAGGGCTATGTCAGCTCTCTGCAGACCCCACTTGTCTTGCTTTAAAAAGCTGCAGCCACTTTGCTTTCATTTTGGTAAACAATACTTGAGAGAAAACTTACAATAAGCTGGTATGGACCATTGTAGAAAGACATCTATTCTGTGCAGAATTCAGAACAACAAATATCCTTATGTGGAACTCTACCGACTATGTTATATGTTAGATTCTGTGCGAAAGAATTTATAGCTGATGTAAACTCTGATGCAGTGCAACTCTTTATGATACATCTCCATAAATAAGGCAGTCTTCTAAGTTCTCATAAGGTATAAGTTGTTGCAGCTTTATTTAGGTTCCCTTTCTTTGAAGTGGTCCAGTGCATAAAACTTTATTATAGAAATTCTAAAGATCTGCAAACGCTCTGTATCAAGAGCATGGAGTAAAAGAGCAATCTTAAATCTGTGTGGTTTATTGCCCCCCTAAATCTGGTGGATGTTCTTAAATCCCAGTGCAATGCATGCATGTACAGTGGGGTGCAGGACTGCAACCCAGATTGTACTCTGAAAATGCTATTCTGATTTTTTGGAGGGTGGCGGCAATAAATCTCTTGAAAACAGCCAATTGTATCCTCAGCATGTTAAAGTTTTTCTTCTTGATTGAACAGAGCTATTTCTACTACAGTACAATCAAATATACACTTATATATTCGTAAATCACATTTTCTACTGTTGTTTGAAAATGTTTTGACTTTATGAGCATGTGATGCTCACCTAACTCTTGAACAGTTGTGTAACAGAAAACAGCTCACACTTTTGTGCATCTCTTATGTGTGAACTAAATGCTGTGGGTAGTTTACACTGTGATATAACTGGACTGTGTTGTTGTGCAGTCATGATGATTAAAAGCTCTTTGGTGAAACATAGCCTAAAGAGCTTCAAGTCTATTCTAAATAAGTAATGTCTTCATTATTGGATGCACATTCGGAAATGAAGTATTTATTTATTTATTTATTGAATTTATATGCCGCCCACTCTACCCAGAGGTCTCTGGGCGGCTTACAATAATTAAAATTCAATACAATAAAAATAAAATGATTAAAATACAATTAAAATACAATTAAAATTGCCATCATCAGGACCCACAGTTGATGTTATTTCAATTAAAAGCCTTCTGGAACAGGAAGGTTTTGACCTGGCGCCGAAAAGTCATCAACGTCGGCGGCGGACGAATTTCAGTTGGGAGGGTGTTCCATCATCTTGCATAGTATTGCAGAGTTTGCTGCTAATCTTGATCAAATATCAATCATACAGATGTTCTGTTTTGTTGGCAAGGGTTATGCCCACATATATAGTCTATCATTTATTCTTTGAGCATTTCTAGAGAGCTTATCATTTTATAAGTTAGAAGGCACTTTGGTCTTCTCATTTACTGATAGTCTGTGATAAGCAGAAAATATGTATGAAGCTGTGGAAGAACAAGGGAAGTTTATGAGTAGGACTTCTTCACTTGAGACTGTAAAATTTGGTGAATGGGGTAGATTGAGTGTATGAGCTTCATATGAAACTGCTTTTCCATACTTACATTAAACATTACTGGTACCCAGCATGGTATAGTGGATAGAGTGATGGACAGGAACCCAGGAAACCTGGTGGCAAAACTACTCCTTGAATACATCAGTTACCTTGAAAACCCTATTAGGGTTTTTATAATTCAGATACAATTTGACAGCATTTCATGGATTAATTCTAAGTTTGGATTGTAACCAAAGTAAAAGGTGTCCAGATTGTTTTTCATAGGAAAAGAGAAGGGAACTAATAGTATGGCTGTCCTTGCAGCAGGAAGTGAGCTAGCATGCACCACTTGGGAATGGTTGGGCTTGATTATACTTGATTATAATGATCTAATAAAGACTGGCCATTCACACGGAAATGACTGCTGCCAATATCATGAAGTAGCATAAGTGAGCCACTTCAGGATATTGGCAAATTAATAGCTTCCCTTGCTTGGTAGAGGGCATTTACACTGGCATAACTACATTATTCTGACATTAGGAAGATTTTGCCTCTTGTATGAGCTGTCTGCTAGTGACACTCCAGTAAAGGTTCTTTGAGAGTTTCTCTATATTCTAGAATGTATAGAAACCCACTTACAGGTAAATATATTGTCCCAGTGGCTACCTCTATGTACAATCTTCTGTGATTTCTTCAGTGCTGGTGCCAAGCTGCTTCACAGGAGAGATTTCCCACCCTGTAAGAGGCATCTTCAAAGTAATATTTGTGCTTAGTTTCATTCTGAAGAATCTTCATACAAATAGAAATGGCTCATGCTGAAGGTTAGGTTGAATATCAACTTCCTAACTGTTAGAGCAGTATGACAGTGAAACCATTTACTGTGGGAGGTGGTGAGTGCTCCAGCACTAGAGGCAGCCTTGAGCAGGGGCTTAGAGTCGATGGCCTTTCCAACTCAATTATTCTATGATTCTGTGAAAGGTTACTTTATGGACTCTTGTTAACCCAACTTCTTTTTTGTAGGTAGAAGCGCTGATGAAATCAACACTGGATCTTCATGGTAGAATAGATTTCTTGATCAACAATGGGGGAGGTCAATTTCCTAGCCTCACAGAATCAATCACTGCAAAAGGTTGGCACGCTGTGATCGAAACAAATTTGACTGGGACCTTCTACTGCTGTAAAGCAGGTAAGTATTACTGACTTAGAAGGCAGCAAGATGGATTTACATGCTTTGTGTTGTGCAGCTTGTATCAATACACACAGTATGAAAATACGCAGTTCATTTTGGCCTTCTAGTGAAAGTTTGCATTTGATGCCATGGCTGTGATATGTTAATTACTTATTTTATTTTCATGGTCTTTGCCATAGATTGTACTCGGGTTTTTTTAACCACAGTGCTAAACTAAGCTTTCATGTGACTCATCTGCTTGTTTAACCATTATACACAATCTGTCTGAGAATATATTTTCATTGCTGCTTTTTTTTGTTCCATACAGTATACAATGCTTGGATGCGGGACCATGGAGGTACAATTGTCAACATTGTGGCTGATACATGGAAAGGATTTCCTGGCATGTCGTAAGGCAGTGTTTGTTAATACATGTGTTTCTTTTTCATTCAGACAGACAAGCTGTTGCTTAAATTGCTGTCCTTCCAAACTGTCATTGTATTTTAAGGACCCTAAAAACAGATGGAACAGCTGCTTTTAAAAACATGCAACACACTGAGATGCCATTTTATCAGTAGTCTTTGAGAAGTTGAAGGAATTTTCCTGTACTCATCCTTGAGCCTAGGTGCCCAGGTTTTGGTGGTGTCAGAGCATTTGCACAGCCAAAGCTGGTGTGCCAACTGCACCTATTCCTCGAGATGTCTGAATTGGCAGTAATGACATATGCCTTAGTTACATCTAACTTGGATTACTGTAACATATTCTGTGTGGGGCTGCCATTGAAGAAACTGAATGGTTCAAAATGCTGACCAGGGCTGCTTACTAGGAGCATACAACTCTCCTGTTACCGCAGCTTCACTGGCTGCTGGTCCATTTCTGCACTCAATTCAAAATATTGATTATGACTAGAGATGGGGGTATTTGTATTCATCTACGACTATCCCCGCACAGGTGGTGTTAGCGAGGATCCAGCCCCATGAGGCCGGACGTCCCCTCACCAATCTGCCACAGATGGCGCAATTCTACCAATGGCTCTGCAGCGCACGAGCCTTTTGCCACTATTTGACCTTGCAGCGAGGCTTGTCCTCCCACCTCCGCTCGCTGAGGAGCCATTGATAGAATCGTGCCGTTCGCATCCGTGGCAGATTGGTGAGTTGACCATCCAGCCCCATGGGGCTGGACCCTCGTTAACACCACCTGTGCGGGGATATTCATAGACAAATACCTCCATCTCTAATTATGACCCATAAAGCCCTATATGACTTGGGTCTAGGCTGTCTAAAGGACCTTGCCTCCCCATCTAATTCTCTCTGGTCTCTGAAATATTCAGAGGAGGGCCTCTTTTTTTTTTGGTCCTGCTGCTGTTGCAAGCACATTTGGTGGGAACATGAGAGAGGGCATTCTCTGTGGCTGTTTCTAGGTTGTGGAATACACTCCCCTGGGAGGTTACGTTGCCCCCCCCCCCGTCCTTTTGACAACAAGTAAAGGATGTGTCTTTTTAAGCAGGCCTTTATTAACCATATTGGGCATTAAGTTTATTCTCCCTGGTATTTTAGCCATTGTTATTTTGAAGTGTGTTTTTAAGTTGTTTTGGCGTTTTTAGAAAATTAATCCCTATACTATTGTATGTTTAATTATTTTTAATGGACTAATTTATTGTGCTTTTCACCTTAATGACAGTGGGCTACCATGAGTCCCTTTATGGGAGAAAGGTGGCATGGGAATGAAACAAATAGATAGATAAATAAGCAAATACATGATCTTCTTGAATAGTAAATGTGCCTGTCCTGTTCCTGATATTTCCTTTTCCTGATTTTCCTGCCTTTTCCTGATTTTTGCTAAAATTATAGTTTGAGTTCTAAGAGATGACTGCTTGTCACAGTTTGAACTTAATTGAACTTGGTAGATTTGACCTTGTGATTGTGTAGAATCCAGTTTTAACAGAACAGGCATGTGCCCCATTGTGATCCTAAATTATTCTGTTGATGGGAACTGATAACTGCCTTTAAATTTTTCCTGTTTTAACTAAAATAGAAATATTACAAAGGTAAGCAATAAACCAACACAATTATAAAACAATATTAAAAACCTCAACAAAATACAACAACAGTTGGTAATCCGAAACAAAATCAAAAACAAGTCATGGTCATTGGGCCCCAAATCCTTTGCTGAAGAGCCAGGCTTTATCTTGATGTAGAACTGAGGCCTGCAAGGAGAGTGCATTCTACAACTGGAATTCTGACTTCCTCCTTTCACAACGTTTTGATTTCAATTCTTCACAGCCACAGTGGTGCGGCAAGAGCTGGCGTTGACAACCTGACCAAAACCTTAGCTATTGAGTGGGCCCACAGTGGGGTGAGAATAAATGCAGTTGCACCGGTAGGTGATAAAATACAAGACCAGCAAATGTTGGGGTCGTAGTGGGTAGAGCTAAAAGCAGAGCATAATTGTAAAGCTATTTGTCTTGTCTTATTTATGCTGAGATGGAAGCAGGTGTACAGTGAAATTACAGTGGGCAACAAATCTGGACATAAACAATGCAATACGCATAACGTCACAGAGTTATATAGTAGGATGGATTCATAGGTCATCTACAACCGCCCCTACCCAGTGCAGAAATCAAGAACTAAATCATCCGTCATGGATGACAATTATGGGTGTGCCATTCTTTTTTTTTCTTTTTTAGTTTTTTTATTTGGTTTTTGCAGGGAGGATTTTCCACCCCCAAAATCTTCATTCTGAGAATCCCACTTGACAGACAGACACCTACAGACTCCAAAATGTGCCTCACCAAGGAGAAAGGCCTAAGCTGGAAGGCTTTGTGGCCTCATGTAGGCCTGGCTTTGCTTAGCTTCCTGTTCAAAAATGAACCTATTCCTGTGTTAGCTGGGAGCTTCCCTTTTGAACAGGAAGCTAGGCAGAGCTAAGCCTCCATTAAGCCACAAAGCCTTCCAGCTTAGGCCTTTCTCCTAAATGGACAGCATATAGGTCCCTGGTGGGACTCCCAGATCAGAGAATTCTTAGATCTATAGTCTGAAAAAAATAAAACGATGAATGGCATATCTCTAATGACTATCTAACCTCTGTTCAAAATTATGCAATGAAAGATAGTCCACTATCTTCTTAGATAACCCATTTTGTTGTGGAACTGCTCTTACCATCAGGAATTTCCTTCTAAATCAGAATCTCCTTTTTGTCTCATTGTAATATATTGGTTTGGGTCCTGCTATGAAGAATAGCAGAAAACAGGCCTACTACATCTTCCATGTGACAGTTCTTCAGATATCTGATGGATCAGGGCAAGACCAGCCCTACCATTAGGCAGTCACCTTTTTTTGTCTCTTTTCAATGCTAAAATATCCAGCTCCCTCAATCCTTACTGGGCTTGGTTTCCAGACCTCTTTATGATTTTTTTTTGCCTTCTTGTGTATGCATTCTAGAATATTTGTAGTACTCTGAACTGAAAGATGACCATGAAATCATGCAGCAAATTTTAAAAGATTTTATACACAACTGCAAATGGTAACAAGTATCAGAAACAGTTTGTGTTATTTTTCCCTAATCTCATAGAAGCATCAAGGGTTTGGCACTGAGGATGTTAGGCTGCAGTCCTATAGACACTCACTGAACTAAAAGTCTTAACTGAACTCAGTTGGGCTTGCTTCTGAGTAGACAGGTATGGTTTTGGAATTTAGGATCGGAAACTGGAGGACAGGACCACCCTTCAAAAGTTCATTTGTAACATTTCACAAAGTGCAGAAAGACTAGAACTTGAAATTGTTATTGAAAAAGGCAATGTGTTACTGTACTTGTGTTTTCTCAAGAGCAGTGAGATACGTATGCTCAGTAAATAGTGTGGGGTGAGGAAAGTACCTGTACAGCCCTCCAGCTATTAGACTTCCTATTGTAGCCAGTGTAGATGGCAGTGTAGAATGCCATCCAGGGATACTGGGTGGACTGCATGTTTTGCCTATTTCTAATGTTATGTGTTAATAACTCATTATTTATAACATTGTATTTTTTTAACCAAAAAAAGCCCTGACTGGCTGAAGTCCCCCACAAGTAACCTTCCTGAAATCAGAAGTGATAGACATTAGTTACGTTACTTTTTAATGTATTACTTACACTATCTTGTGCTCTGAAAAGATGAGTAACCATGTTAATTTTAAAACATTTTACTGTTTCCATTTATATCTCACCTTTCTTCCAAAATTCAGACTCCAAGCTTTGGAGATCTGTGATTTGTAAGTGGTATTATATAATAAGGCCATTGTCCTATTGGGCTTCCGCAGAATGAAAGTCCCTCAGCATAGTAATGTGTGATCACCTTGTACAATGTTGCTATTGCACAAGTGAACAGTGGCCTTTCTTTAGGAGATCATCTACTCAATGACAGTATTGAGCAGGTGGTGTGGTCCTCATATTAACACTCTGGTAGGACTTCCTTGTTCAGCAAAAACTGCACAGAATACTATCCCATGTACCAACCCAAATTTTCAGAGCTGATATACTAGATCTATGATTTGGGGGCGGGGGGGCTGCAGAGATCTTTGAGACGAATCTTGCACTGCACAGGGTGTCATATTGGAGCCTGGGGCATAAATACCACCCTGTTTCCTATTGAATGTAAGCACGCCGAAACAAGCTGGAATTTTGTATGAAGACGCTTGTGGATTATCACATGGGTCCTACATGATATTCAGTTTTTGTTTTGGTTGTGTGTTTGCTTGTTGGTAGATCATGAGTTTGAAAAGATGCTTGAGGTTTATATTATCATTCAATAATGGAATCCTATTGTGAGTCTGTCCTTTCTACACAGGGAGTGATATTTTCTGAAACTGCTGTGGCAAATTACAAAGATGGTAAAGAAATGTTCAGAAGTGCTATTGAAAAGATTCCTGCAAAAAGATTAGGACTTCCTGAAGAGGTATAGTAGCATCCTTTTTGGAACTGATCCCCCACAGATACTATGCTCCTACTATAGTGAAATCACTGGGGTGTATGTGTGTGTACATATGTAAGGGTAAGGAATAAATAGAAGACAGTGTGGAAAGTGTAAAATTTCCCAGAAATAGTCTAATCCATTGTAAAAACTAAAACTTCTCTCAGAGTCAAGACAAACCAAGGCCCAAAGGCCCTAGAGCAATCAAAATCTGCAGAAGTAAAAATCACACAAGAACAAGTGAACTGAAAAGCATCTGCATGTGAGCTTGAATGTGAGTGTAAATGAGTGTGACTCTGAGTCCAAGTCTCTTTGCCCTAAGCAACAATTGCTTTTGGTTCTGTGTTGGTAGATAGCAAGTTGGAAGAAAAAGTGCATTGCATCACCTTTCTTCTTCCCAGAAAGTACATCACCCCTGTGTCCTAAAGGCATACAGTGTGACTGTAACATCTTATTGTGGTACCCTCTGGGCCTGGAGCCATTGAACGTATCCAGCCTTGTAGCCCTTCCATAGTGTTCCATTGTCTCCCAGCTCAGCCACAGTCTTATTGCCATAGCAAGCATGTACCTGTGTTTTTAATTTTTTTGCTCATTCTATCATGCAGAAATCCAGGCTAGAAGAAATCCTCAGCCCTTTTTGCCAACAGAAAATAGTCAGTTGTAAACAAACCAAAGATTTCCTTGATGCCAATCAATAGACAGATCATTCCACAAGTCAGTAATCCAGTCCTGAGGCCATATATCTGTAAGCCAGTCCAAGCCACATGTCCACCTGCCTGCCTTTTGCCCAAAGTACCCTTATACCAAAATGTTGCACCTGATTAACAGATGCTATGGTTAATGGCGGTGGTAAGACCTTCTGAGTGGATAGTACAGTGGACCCTCGACTTACAGAGACCTGATTAACAGATGCTATGGTTAATGGAGGTGGTAAGACCTTCTGAGTGGATAGTACTGTATTAAAGAAGCAGTCATAAAACTTTTGTTAAAGAAACTGTCCTTGCCTCAGATGTCCTGAAAAATATAAGCCATTTTTAATGTCCCATTTTGGCTAAAGGTGCATGGCGGTACTGTAACACTCCTGGATTAGTTGGATCCATTTTGGTTGGACTCTTACGTAGGATATAGAACCGAGACTATTTTGGTTGCCTTGTGGCGCAGTGGTTAAACTGCTATACTGCAGCCAAAACTGCTCACGACCTGGGGTCCAGTCCCAGGTAGCCACCTCAGGGTTGATTCAGCCTTCTGTCCTTCCAAGGTTGGTAAAATGAGTACCCAGCTCGCTGGGGGCGGGATGTGGCGGCGGCAATGTGTAGCCGGCATAATTAACCTGTGGATGTGGCAGCGGCAATGTGTAGGCTGCATAATTAACCTGTAAACCACCGAGAGAATACTTTAAACACTATGGGGCAGTATATAAGCAGCATGCTTTGCTTCCCCCCCCCTTGTAATCTATGTCAGGATTTGGACAAAGAGAGCATAACATCACTAGTTGTCGCTGGCCTTTCAGTGGCTTTTGGTACCATTGATTATGGTAACCTGCAGCGGCAATGTGTAGGCTGCATAATTAACCTGTAAACCACCGAGAGAATACTTTAAACACTATGGGGCAGTATATAAGCAGCATGCTTTGCTTCCCCCCCCCTTGTAATCTATGTCAGGATTTGGACAAAGAGAGCATAACATCACTAGTTGTCGCTGGCCTTTCAGTGGCTTTTGGTACCATTGATTATGGTAACCTGCTGGACTGTCTGGCTGAGTGGAGAATGGGGGTTCTTGTTGCACTGGCTCTAAATCTTGCTTGGCAGAGCATACACAAAAGCTGGGGCTCATAAAAATTGTTACAGCTTTTGACAGATGGTGTCCTTCAGAGTTGTTCTCCATCTCCCATGTTAGTCAACATCTATATGAAACCCCTGGGAGGAGCTGTGCAAAGCTATGGAATGAGGTGCCACCAACCTGGGAATGACACCTAGCTCTATTGCTTCTTGCCACCTGCCATCAAAGAAACGGTCAACACCTTTAAACATTGCCAGGCCTAAATCATAGAAGGCCATATGATGGTGAACAAGTCAAAATTAAATTCTGATGTAACAGAGTGGCTGCTACTCAACAGAAATTTTCACTTGAGCACTGGATTTTTTTTAAAGAAACCTTGTGCACTCTCTGGCAGGTTAGGTTTGAAGTCTGATAGCAATTGATAGCACTCTTTGTTTTTGGACCCTTGGATTCTGAGGTGCTGGTGTTGGCAAGTAGAAATGCTGCTTTAGGAAAAACTTGAGTTGCAATAGCTGAGTAATTATTATGTGAAATAAACAGAGTCAGAAAAAACCCTTTTATTAAGAGATATTAAGTGATATCAAGATCACTAGTTATTTTGTTTGGTCCCACTCTGCTCAGAGCAACAAAAGAAGTTGCATGCTGGTACAGACTGAGAAGAGCAGGACAGTCCCATGCTCCACATCAAAAGATATACAGAGACACACTGTCTTCAGTAACGGAAATCAAATATTACCATCCTGACCTAGCTTCTGTGAATTTATCTATTTCCATTTAAAAGCCATCCAAGTTTGCAGCCATAGCATCTTGTGGCAGTGAATTTGAAGTTAATTAGATACTATGTGAAGAACAATTTCCTTTTATCTATCTTGAGTCTCTCACCATTCAACCTTAATGGATGACCTCAGTATTTTTGTATTATGAGAGGAGAAAAGCTCCCTATCCCCTTTCTCCACACCATGCATTGGTACCACTGGAGGCATCGCACAGCTTATTGTACCAAGTTCTTTGTTAACTAAATTAATTTGGGAGCATTGTGCAACTGGATAATTTGGAAGTTCTAGCCATCAAATGTGAAGCTTCTCTCTGATCCATGTCCATGGCTGACATTCTGTGTATTTAAACATAATTAGGTGCTGTTATCTACATTGTATGTCCATCTAGACATTGTATACATGTTGTGTGCATGCTTTGGGGCATATATCAGGTGGGTAGGTGACTGCTGAACCATTTGTCACTCTAATAGTAAATACATGCCCTGATTCTCTGTAAGGTGTCAGCCTTGGTGTGTTTCCTCCTGTCTCCTGGTGCCTCCTTCATAACTGGGGAAACAGTGAAGATTGATGGTGGACAGTCCTTATATTCTTCTCGTTGGGAAGTTCCAGGTAAAACAAATCTGCATTAAAAATCATTAGTGGTTTCTGAAACATTCAAAGCATCTTGGAAGAATTAGTAAAAATGTAGTAAAAATGAAAATAATCCCTAAATTAATTTTTTTTAATTTGGATGTTACCTATAAAGATAGCTGATGAGGAATTAAAAAACGGCAGAATGAGCATCTTGGAAGAATTAGTAAAAATATAGTAAAAATGAAAATAAGCCCTAAATTAATTTTTTTATTTTGGATGTTACCTATAAAGATAGCTGATGAGGAATTAAAAAACGGCAGAATGTGATTAATATGTATTTTAATGAAAATAAAACAGCAAGGATAAATAAAAAATATGGTATCTTCCTCAAAAGAAAGGAGGTCTGGGTATACCTGAAATTAAATGTTGTTATATAGCTCATCAATTGAGATATATATCAGAAATTATAGTAAACAGTAAGGAGATAATACGGAGTGATCTTGAGCTTTGTAAGATTAAGGAAAATATGGAGAATTTGTTTTTTAAGAGAAATTTAAAGGAAATCGTTTTAAATAATATGTTACAATGTTGGAAGAAGTACAAGAGAGTATTGAGTCCAAAGATTTCCCCATTGACACACGTGGAGGAATTACACCGTTTTCCAGATAAACTGAAGAAGAAATTAAATGAGGTTTTGTTAGAACAGAAAGTTATAAAAATTAAAGATTGGAACAAGAAGATGTATAATATAAAGGGAATAAAAGAGATACTTGGAGGAGAAGGAATTGGCTAAATGTAAGACAGTTAGATAATTGGACCAATGGGGGGGGGAAGGAGAATGTAGAAGGATGACTAAATTTGAAGAAATTATTGAAAAGAGGGAAGAGATGGATGATAATATTCAAAGAAAAGGGATAATAGGTGTAATATATGTTAGTAGATGAATATAAACAACAGCTTTGAAAGATATGGCAAGGAGATTTCAATAAAGAACTTAGTGAAGAAGTATGAAAGAGGGTCTGGGGAAAAATAATAATGTAAAATATGTCAGTTAGGGTACAGGAAAACTGTTATAAAGCAATATGGAGATAGTTTTTAACACCAATGACATTGAATACAGTGAAGTCTGTATGTTGAAATCAGTGAAATCTGTATGTTGGAGATGTAAAAAAGAAATGGGAACATACTATCATATGCAGTGGACATGTGAAGAGAGACAGAAAGAATGGATGATTACATTTACATGGAGATAGTTTTTAACACCGATGACATTGAATACAGTGAATAAAGATCTGTATGTTGGAGATGTAAAAAAGAAATGGGAACATACTATCATATGCAGTGGACATGTGAAGAGAGACAGAAAGAATGGATGATTACATTTAATGAGATTAAAGAAATTGTAGGCATAGATATACAGTACAATATAAATTTATATTCCTGATGGTGGTGGGTTAAACTGTATATCTGAGTTATGATTCTTTTTGTCATTTATGTTTTTGTAATATTTTGTTATATTAATAAAATTTTATTTTAAAAAACATTCAAAGTGTCTCATTAAAAAACAAAGTACAGTTATCTTAAAATATGAAGTTATTGTGCATTATAATATATAGAAACTTTAACAGAATGTTAGCTTTCCAATGCTGTCTGCTTTCCTTGTTTGAAAAATGGATTTCTGCATGCTTGGCTCCTGCCATAGTAAACAGTTAATTTCCAAAGCTGCATCCACCATTATTATATAAAACACTGGTTCTTAACCTTGGGTTACTCAGGAGTTTTGGACTGCAACTCCCAGAAGCCTTCACCACCAGCTGTGCTGACTGGGGTTTCTGGGAGTTGCAGTTCAAAAACATCCGAGTAACAAAGGTTAAGAACCACTGATATAAAAGACTACCCCCCTCCAAATCATCATATTGTGTATTCTAGTTAGTCGCCAGTGCAAAGTTTCTTTATTATGAACCAGCTGTGTTCTGGTGTGCCCAATTGCTCTCAGGTAGTCTCACTTTCTGGCTGGCCTAGCTAAATAAACAAAAATAGTTTGTTCAGAATATTGTCTGAATTTGTGGTGTTACCTTATTGCTCTCTTTAGTTGCAAACCAGGGCTTGTTTATTATTTAATAATCCTGGTTTGTTTAGGAACAACACATCAGGCTCCTCCAGTTGGATAACATGCTAAACAAATCATTTATGTCACAGTGTGGTTCAAACTACCTGCTTCTGATTCACTTTGTCATGTCAATTGAAGGAGCACAGAGAACAGCTTACATGGACCAGTATGCAGCCCATGGTAAACCAGAATTCTGGAGAATCCTGGCTTACTGTTCTGTATGAATGAACAAGCCATTGTTTTCTTTAAAAGATAGTGAAGTTGTTGGGCTTTTCATATATTTTTGAACATGAATTGTAATAAAGGTACAGTGACAAAATCACCTAAAAACATTACTCACATCAGAAACATTTGGATATGTATCTTTTAAATGAAAAAAAAATTGACTTTGGTGAAAAGACCTCTATGAAATGGAGCATAACTGATGAGAGATCATGGAATTCACACTACATACCCTATTTATGCGAATAATAAATAGTAGCCATTGTAAAGAACAAAAAACAAATAAATAACCCTGCTGAAGAGAGAATTCACCTCCAAAAGCTACATGGTATAAAATTTCAGTAGGATTTTAGGTCATGTGGTTGTTTTGTTTGTTTCTTATTGTGCCATCCAGTAAAAATCTGTCTTAGCCTATTGGCTTTTAAGGCAACTAATTTCCAAGTTACATTGGTGTAAAATCCCAAGAGGATTTTGACCGATATGTATTTTTGGCATCTAGTAAAATGTTTTAGACCATTGACTCATTCCTTAATTTGCCTTAAGAAAATGTTCTCATTCAAGAAAGCTATTGACTGACTAAGTAGAGAAAATTATTATCAACTTTTTTCAGAGATGGTCCCACAAGTGGTGAAGGATGTTTGTCTCAGCACATATTTTTATGTAGTTATACGTTTTCTGAGATGAAGGATGTGCCAGCACACAGAGTATTGGATATCTGAGAAACCTTGAGGAGGTCACCATAGCTAAAGAGAAATTTGATGGTACATGATTAGTAATTATATTTTGTATTTATTGTACCTTGTTTTATGCTTTTTCACTGCAAAGTAAGCATGGACTTAATTGACATAATTTCTCAGCCACATTTCTGAGGAAATACCATTCTGATAAGGAAATCCTAGTTTCTAGGTTAGCAGTGAGCATTAGATTTATCTGTGGTACAGTAAGAACAAAGCAGTGGCTTGTTTTCCAAGATAATACAGTATTTTTTTCCCTTTCTCACAGATCATGACCGGTGGCCACCTGGTCCAGATGGAGACAATTCTACAGCACTCAAGATGTTATTTTCACAAGAACCTCTGTCAAAGCTGTGAATCATAGAAAAGGGAATAGCCCCTTTCCATTTTTGCCAATGGAGAAATTTTGCCTTTTAAGAGTTGATTACAGTTTTTAAAACTGTGCCTGATTTTGATAAAAAATCTTCACTTTGTTTTGTTTTAATAATGTTGGCCTTAAAAATGCTACTTCAGGAAAATGATCATGGGAAAAGCCTCTTGTACCATTGTTGGCTTTGACATGAAAGGGCAACTGTGTCAATGAACTCTCTGCTTGTAATTTGAACTCTTACACTTCTCCTGTTAAAACGACATGGAGTATATCTTGGATTGGCAAGGCACTAAAGGGAATAAAGCCAAAGGTTTACAGTTTGTTATCAAAGGCTCTTGACTGCTATGTGATTATTCCCCCCATAACAATGCATGCTAGAGCTCTTGGAGATGAAGGTGGGGACAGGTGGTTTACATTTATGTTCTTTAATTTTAAAGTTGTCTTTAATGTTCAGTAAGAGTATACAAGATGGGTAGTAACAGAAGCTTGAGAGCACCTATTGCCTGTAGCTTATGCTAGCTGAGAATTAGGAGAGGTGTATTCCAGCAAGGCTGCTTTCACAGTTCAGAAAGGGAATTACTTGCATATTGTAGTCAATAGCAGCTGTAGCTGAAAGTCCTTATTTAGTATGTCTCTGTTACAAGATGGGAGTTCTGTTTTTCTCTGTGTTGGCCAAGTTGCTAGCACTGATAACTGAACAACTTAGACTGCCAAACTTGCAGGTTTATGTGTGGCATACCCATTACGCTGGCTTATACTAGTGATCCGGGAAATAAAGTTCCTGAAATTGGCATCATAAAAGGAAATGTTTCCAGAAAATATATTAAAATCTTTTGACTGGGAGCAGACAAAATAGCTGAAAGACTGTTACTTGTTTTTCTCAGTACTCACACTGAGCAATACTGTGGGATTAAACAAATATGTAAACTTGGCCTGAGCAGACAATTAACCTTTGTAAGAAAGACAGTAACCAATGAGGCATCCCTATTTCAGTTTTGTACTTCCAAATTAAAAAGGTAATCAGCAACTTATCCACTTATGATGCCACTCGAGTTCCATACTTTGAAATATATATTAACCTCATTGCAAAACTTTCAAATATGTGATTCCTAAAGTCAGAGAGTAAGCTACTAAAAGTGCCTGTGCATCATCGATGGCAAATCCTGTTACACCCAGTTAGGTGAGGGTTGTGGGAGGAAAACATTGGCTTGTTTTTTTTTAAATAAATAAAACCAGTGTTGTGCTTTCTCAGATATCGCCACTTAAGCAAGGGAAACGGATTTGCAGGATATGGCACCTTACAACTTTCAAATACTTGCCTTGATGAGGTGAATACATCTATTTTTCTAATATTCAGCAGTGGCAGCAAATTCATGTTGTGACTTCATAATATAAACAAACAAATAAATGTATATAAAACTTTAATATCAGTACAGTGTTTGTTTATGCAAAGAATAAATGCACATCAAAACAATCAGTTCAGGAAAATGTTTCCAAGTTGTTTGTATAAAATTCCAACTGATATACAGTAAATGTTGCCCTCAAAGCTGTGGCGTTAAAAATGGAGTGGTACTTGTTTGTTAGAAGTTTATTACAAGTGTAATTCCGTGATGGGAGACAGAGCATTGTGCTGAGAACCTTTGCCAGCCACACAAATTTCTCAGGCCCACCGCACCGTGGCAGGGTATCAACATCTTATTTCTCCTTAAAGATTGACAGGAGAAACAAGAGAATACCCAACAGGTGGGTGGCTGTGCCTGTCCACCAAACTAGCATGACAGCCTCTCTGCGCTGCACGTCTGGATTCAGACTTCAGATCTTCCAGGCCCACAAACCCACTGGCCAGTAGAATGGAGGTAGTGAAAGAGCCAAGGGCAGGGAAGAGTGCAAAAGTGCATGAGCACTCAGAACTGAGAGGCTTCCCCCCACAGAAATCATTTCAAAGGAAATCCCAAGTGAGAAATGTTCATACCACTTTAGCGCCAGGCCAATGAGCATCAAGGAACTTACTACACACCTATTTTCCCCATCCCCCGTTTTCACCGGGCAGGTTGTAGCAATTTGTTTTTTCAGTCTGGAAGAGCGAGGACAGCTGAAAAGGGGTGTGCATGCACCATACATCTGTCTGTGTAGATTGCAAAATCTAAGGTGATGTTGCTTGTGACCTGCAGAGTTAAAAAAATGAAAAGTGGTGCCTTGAAGGGAATATAGTATGTTTCAGAGTATATTGTCATTTTTTAATTGTACTTCGGGGTAAGATGAAAGGTGGCCATAGACTAATATAAGAATTTAGCATTACAATGCTTGACCATGGCTTAACATAGCATAGAAAAGTAATTTTAAAAGAGTTCAGGTTATTGAAGCTTGTGAGGCTGTTACAGGAAGAACGGCTTAAACAGCTAGGAAACTTAGTCGACTAAGCATTGCAGGTAGGGATGGGAATTTTGACTGGGATTTTTCCATTGTTCCTCGTAAAACCATTCTTGTACCCTCAGGGGCTGGGGAACAGCTTTTAAAGCAGCCGTTCCTTGCCATTCATCTACATATACAAGTCTATGATACGATCCATTTTAGGCGGGTGGTATATCTTCGGTGCAAGGCTGAACAAGAAAGCTTTTAAATTATAAGCTCTAATTGTACAAGCCTTGTGTGGGAGAGGTCACTGAGTTCAACATGTGAGAAGTGGGTTTTGATCCACAAAATAAAACTATTAGTCTTTCAAGTTTTTCTATACTTTTCTGTTCCCCCACTTTCCTTTTATTGAGACAAGCTCTGCAGCGTGGCTTTTTTGAGCTGCCACTTTCTCTCTCTTTTAAAGGAAATTAATTTCACCTGCATGTCCTTTCTATCTCTACGGAACACCTTTAAGAATGGTGCTTTCCAACCGCCTAGTGGTCCCCAACCTTTTTGACAGCAGGGGCCAGTTCAGTTGAACGCCATTCACCCAAGGACCGGGGGGGGGTACTTGTTATGCAGCAGTTTGTTGGAAGATAGCTTTGAATCAAGCTCATTACAGTGGTGCCTCGCTTAACGAGCGGACTGTTTAACAACGAATCCGCATAGCAAAGTTTTCTGCAATGTTTTTAATGGCAAAATATCGCATTGTGATGATCGGTAAGCGTTTCACTTCCTGATTTTCGCATTGCAATGTTTTTTTAACAGCTGATCGGCGGTTCCAAAATGGCCGCCGGGTAAAGAAAATGGCCGCCCTCTGTGTTTCTGCCTGGATTCCTCGCTTACCGGGCAGCAAAAATGGCGGCTGCATGGAGGATTTCCGCATAGTGGTGAGTTTTCCCCCCATAGGAACGCATTAAACGTGTTTTAATGCATTCCTATGGGATTTTTTTGTCCGGCATAGCGACGAATCCGGATAGCAACGATTTTTGGGAACGGATTATTGTCGCTATGCGGGGCACCACTGTACATATATCATGCCCTTTATTTCTATTATCATTACATTGTACTATATAATGAAACAATAATACAACTCACCATGATGCAGAATCAGTGGGAGCTCTGTGCTTGTTTTCCTGGAATTAGACGGTCCCATCTGGGTGTGATGGGAGACAATGACACCCTAAGTGTGTTTTTTATGTCCAAGCTGCTGTGTAATCTTGTTCTGGTTGCTGTCATAGCAGAAAACCCTGCTTCGCAAAGATAGGGTGCTGGAAATGGAAGCAGGCTTTTCAGTGCTTTTGTGGCAATCTCAGGATATTCTGCCCTTACTTTAATCCAGAATGTATGGAGATTTAACGTTCTCTCAAACATACTTTTAAGGCCACCGTCATTTTCAATCTCAAGCAGTTGATCCTCTTCTAGCACAGATAAAGTTGATTCACCTGGCTTATTCACAAATGGGTCACGGATCCATTCCTTCCCAGTTCTGGGGTCTTTTGCTGTTGGGAAGTAATTCTCAAACTGTTTTGAAAGCTGAGATAGGTGATCACGCACCAGTTGGGAGAAAGAAGGCCCGGGCTCAGTCCCTTTCAAAATATCTGCTAATGTTTGAAACATGTCAAAAATCCCAATGTCTACTCGTTGCCCCCATAATTCTAGCTTGGCTTTGAATGCAGCCACTTTATCTGCTGCCTTAAACACAGTTGTCATTCTACTCTGAAGTGACAGACTGAGTTCATTGAACAGGTTGACTATGTCACACAGGTAAGCAAGTTTTGCAAGCCATTCTGTGTCACTGAAATGTGCTGCCATAGGTGATTGTTTTTCTACAAGAAATCTATGGAGCACCTCTCGTAGCTCAAAAACTCTGGCCAGTAATCCACCTTTAGAAAGCCATTTCACTTCTGTGTATAAAAGATGTATGTGCTCTGCATCCATCTCCTCCCAGAGCTCTGCAAACAGATGTGAGTTAAGGGCATGTACTTTAATGTGGTTAATAATTTTAATCACATCCTGCAAAACACTGTTAAGTTCAGGTGGCAATTTTTGGCTAACCAACATTTCTCCATAGATGATACAGTGTGTGGACTCACATTCAGAAGCAACTTCCTTGACCCGAGTAGTGAAACCAGAAATCTATCCAGCAGCCGCTCCATCTGTGCATATACCAACACAAAATGACCAGTTCAGTTTTCCTGACATGTAATCATTCAAAGACTTGAATCGTTCTGCAGCTGTGGCGTTGGTTGGTAACAAACATGCACATAACATATCTGTATGTACATCCTCCTGGAAAATATATCGAACAAAAACAAGCATAATTGCCATGTTTTCAACACTGATGGACTCATCCACCTGGAGTGCATACCATGGTGACGCTTTAATTCTCTCTAACAACTGTGCCTCGATATCCTCTGCTATTTCATCAATTCCTCCGGGTATGGTGCTAGGTGAAAGAGATACATGTGCCACCTTTTGAGCTGCTGCCTCTCCTAAAAGTTCACGACAAACAGCCTTGACAGCAGGCAGGATCAACTCTTCGCCAACAGCAAAAGACATCTTAGCTTTAGCAATGCGGCTTGCGACTAAGAACGATGCTCTCCGTGCAGACAAATTGGACGAAGCAGAAGTGGCCATCAATGCTTGCTTCTCTTCGTGGTGCTCACGTTTTTGTCTTTTGGAAAAAAAATACAAAGGCTCGCCTTTCAATTCAGGGCGCTTGGTCTCCATCTGGCACAAAGCAATGTCGGGCGTTTTCTTATGGCCCTCTAGAAAACCGCTTGGATGCTGTCTCCAGTCTCTGCGCCCCAGAACATGCGCCCAGAAGCGCTGCTGCTGCTGCCGTCGCTCTCCAAATTCGTCACGTTCCTCCCACGTGCGCCGTGGTGACGTTGCGCGTCGCTCTGCCTCTTGCGTGTCACAGGTCCTGCGTTCGGGGAGGCGGAGCTCTGGAGGAGGAAAAGAACGGGGGAGGGGAGAGGGAAAAAGAGAGAGAGAGAGAGGTCCGGCTGAATAGGTGACGGCGGCCACGGGGTGGGGTGGGGGGCCTTTCCCCGCGCTCCTCGTTATTCCCCCGCCCCCTTCCCCGTGGCGCGAGATTCAGGGAGAACGAGGAGGCCCTTCCCCCCCCTCAAAGCCTCCCTTTTCCTGTGTGTGTGGGGGGGTCTCCCTCCTTTCTCTCCTCTCGCTTCTTCCTCCTCCTCCCCCCATCATCATACCGTGCTGCTTTTCGTTTTTTGGGGAGGGGGGGTCACATCTCCCCACCCCCCACCCCGAAATTTCCCGCGGCTACGTGCGCGAGGGTTGTGGCTTCAACGGAAAAAAAACCACCAACAACCCGGGATCCTGGAACCCCCCCCTCCCGGGTTGGAGGCCTCCTGGAGGTGCCGGCTTGGGGGGGGAAATCGTCCGCCTCCCCCTCCGCCCCTTCTCGCTGCCCCACAGGTACGTAGGGCTGCCTCCGGGTCTTGTGGGGTGCACTGGTGCCAGGGAATCGTGTGGACGTTCAGGCTCTAGCGAGGTTTGCCTCTTCCTTGTATGGAGGAGCTGTTGGGGGGGGTGCCGCTGAATGCAGAAGGAAGGGTTTGCCCCCCCTCCTCCCCGAGAGCTTCGACTCAGGAGTTGATAAATTCGTTTTTCCTGCTTTGTCCTACAATTAGGACATGTTAGATACAGAAAGCCCTGAGGGGCTCAGGTTTTGGGAAGGACCCTTGAGTTGTCATTGAGGACTAAGGACGAGGTGGTTTGCTGCCTTGGAAGAAAGGGGGAGGAGTAAATTGTGCCGTAGTTCCTTCTTGTGTAGTTTCGGGTATAAATCTCTGTCTGTTTAATGGGGTTAAGTATGGTTTTCTGATTTTTAGCCTTGTTGTGTATTGAAAAGAAGGTAAAGAATTAGAGTTTTACCTCATAGGGGTCCACAGCACTTGCCCTGTGCATGCTAAATGTTATGTTGGGGACAGTGTATAGGTTATTGCTGAGCTGTGTAGTCTTATTAGTCACAGAAGGTAGTGTACATTTGCATGTTAATCTTTCCCGGTATCTCTCCTTTTCCAAAATCCTCTTTCTGTCAGGTGTATTGCGTATGGACACACACGCCCCTCTCCTTCTGACAGAAGGGTGATTGGTACTTTTATGCCACCCATATAGTGGCAAGTCACTGCTACTTGTAATTTGCAGCAATTACAGTCCATAACACCTAGCGCGGAAATAAACAAATGAAATCACAATAACTTCATTAAACAAACAATGACCACCCCCCCCAAAAAAGAACACACACGACCAAAGGTAAAAGCAGCAGGAATTTCTAATGTAGTGGGCCACTTATAGGCAGAGGAAGTTCTTGAGGGCCTCCTTAAAAAGCAGAGGAAGAAGTGTGCCAGGTGTACATCCACAGGCAGTGTATTATACACTTTGCAACAGCCCTAGGTAAAAGAACATCCCTGGACATGATGTCATACTGTGCTGTTGTTTAGCAGGTCTGAACCACCATATGTTTCTGAAAGTACTATGTTTATCTCAGAAACAGACCAGTAGACAGTGAAGCTGTTGTATGAAGCGAATATGATCTCTGTAAATGGCTCCAGTCAATGGTCTGGCTGCACAGTGTTGGACCAGCTGAAGTTTCTGAAGAGTCTTCAAAGGCAGCCCCACATAGAATATGTTAAGTTATCCAGTAGAGATGTATCTATACCATGTGCTATTGTCATTCATCTCCAGGAATGGGCACAACTTGTGTATTAACTTTAACTGTGTAAATGCATTCCTGGCCACTTCTGAGAGCTGAGCATGCAGACTCAGAGATGAATCCAGGAGAATACCCAAGCTGTGAACCTGGGTTTGGGAAGGGGGGGGGGAAGGATAGCAGGGATGGTAGACACTTCAGCCAAGGAATCAGATCTCACTTATGTATATATGGTCTTGGAAGAGATGAAGCCCAGCTCCTTAAAAGAAAGTCTAGAGCAAGAAATAATGAAATAGGGATTGTAGTGATATTATTAATGTTGGTTCAAATTGGGGTTTATAAGCCAGGTAGGGAATGCAGTTTGAAGAATTTGATGCCCAGACTATATTCTAGCAATTTGAAATGGCTGTTATGACTTGTAAAAGTTCTAAATGTGTAACATTAATAAAGGTAGAGAATGCAAGAGTTTGGTTATATGGGTTGAACTGGAGGGAGAGTGTTGATGAGCCATGAACAATATGGTTTGAGAAGCCTTTTTTCTTCTCTGATGAGAAGGATTTTGTTTTGAAGCTGCATGCCATTGAGTATTTCTAAAGGAAAAAGTGAACACTGGGCTCCTTTTGCTATTAAGTGTGGAAATACATGCAAAGAATTTCTTTGGTTTCTGCTCTTACTTGACTAGCAAATTCCTCAGAGTTTTCCATAACATTGTTGGTTTGAACATCAAAGCTAAAAGATGCTGACCACATCTCAGGGATGTTTATTTTTCAACTTTTTTTTAGGGAAAGGACTTTAAAAGGCTAATAGAAGTTCATTTTTAGAATAATACGTTTTTATACAGGAAATCACAGTTTGAAAATTATTTGTTTGACAAGCTAACACACCAGATATTTTTGGCTAAATTAGATAGATATGGGACTTCTATATTTAGGAATTTCCGCTATAATTTACTGCTGTTTTCCTAACAACATTAATGGCTGAAATCCTGTTGCTTAGTGTAGTAAGTTTGCATTAGAGTAGGTCCATTGGATCAGTGGCAGTTTGATGAATCAATTCCTTCATAAGTTGTATTTATTCAGCTTACAATTCTAGTTGCAGCTTACTTACTGGTTGCATAGTAAGTTGCAACTAGAGTAGATGTATTGAATCAGTGGAACTAAAGCGGAGGTGCCCCACCAAATCCACTGATTCAATAGGTCTACTCTAGTGTGATTTATTATAGAAAGCAACAAGAATTCAGCCATTCTGTGATAACATAATCATTTAGACTTTGCTATAATGTAACTGCTACAGCTGTTGTGAGTCATCAGTATGTTTTCTCTTATTTTAAAGTTTACAAAGCATGGCCTCAGACAAGTGGCCTTTTTTGTATTATCGTTTGGCTTCACTGTTTGCTCTCCCTCACCATAAAAATATATCTCATGTTGCATAAGAATCCCAGTGTTGTGTAGTAGTGAATAGAGTGGTGGACTAGGACTCTAGAGAATAGGGTTCATGTCCCCACTTGGCCGTGGAAACTCATTGCGGGAATGGAATTGTTAAACCCACTCCTTAAATATCTCACTTACTTTGAAAGCCCTATAAAGGTCATTTCCAACTTGATGGCAACAGAACACACATGCCGTTTGGATATAATGTTTGACATATCAGATAAAGCGGACTTATATCTATGAAACCTTGTAGTTCAATAAATCTGTTATGTTTTCAGGTACAGCGGAATTCTAAGTTGTTTTTTCATTCTAATTGACAAACGGGAGCTGCAACCCAGTGTTGCAATATGAAATGTTCCTGTCACTGTTCCAGTCAGTCAGTAATTTCATGATACTCCAATCTGTTCCCATCCCGGTTTTCTCTTTCTTCCCCATGTTCTACTCTTTTTGCCCATATCAGCACACAGTCTTCACTGGTTTGTGAGGGGGGTGATCCCTCTTGAGGATAAATGTAAAAAGTGTATTTGTGTTTGTGTGTGTGTGTTTGTGTGTCTGTGTTTTGTACTTCTGTAAACCTTGGGGTTCCTCAAAGCCGGCTGATCATAGAATAATAAAGTTGGAAGGGGCCTATAAGGCCATTGAGTCCAACCCACTGCTCAATGCAGGAGTAGAAATCAAAGGATATCTGTGAGGTGGTTGTCTAAATTTCTCTTGAATGCTTCCAGTGTTGGAGCACTCATCACCTCTTGAGATAATTGATTTCATTGCCATACTGCTCTTGTGTGTAAGTAGTGCCATCGTTGCTCTTGTGTGTAGGTAGTGCCATCTTTGCTCTTGTGTGTAGGTAGTGCCATTTTTGCTATCTAAATAAATGCGATCTGTGAATTACAATACTGGTACCACTCAGAATGTTAATCTGTGCAGTTGATCTGGTAGACGTACTTGACATACCTTCTTTATAAAACAGAATAGCTCTAGTCTTTAGGTATTTATGATGCTGTAGTTCCTTGTTATCTGCAAAAACTTTTATTTTATTATTTTGGTCAGTTCAGTGCACTAGCTCACATGATTTGCATGCAACAAGGGATACCAGCAGTGACTGTATAACTAGCAGATATTCACCATTTCAGTTTATGCCACTGCACTTAAGCCAATGCAACTAGCAAATAGAATTCTGGCCAGTGATGTAGATGTTTAACAAGAAGTCCACATCATATTTCTTGTTAATGTGTGTGTTTCTTCTGTAGATGAATGAACGAACAAGCACTTCCACTTCCTATCAATTGCATGCCTTATTCTAGAGCACAGTCTTTAGTTTCTAAGCAACTGAATGGCTTTATTGAAGGTAGTAATATATTCATAGTGTGAATCTGTATTCAAATTCACTGATACATAAATGCATGTAGGACTGCAGCCTTGCAAGCCGGTCTTGTGTGTGAGAGAGAGACAGATGTAAACAACATTAAACTGAATGGAATTTACTCTCAAGTAAGTAGGCACATTATCATTAATCTTAGATAATGATGTTGGCTTTAATTTGACATATCCCTGAGTGGAAGGCAGCATTGAGACTCCATAGTATACAATAACCAATATTACAGTATATTGGTTTTCATTTGACACATAGAGAACATGGTCACATGTAAACTAAAATGTAGTTATGTTTCACCCAAATCAAGTACACTGAATCGTGCATACATCTCTTCTGTTCTGCCTCCCTTTCTCTGCCTCTCTTTACTCCTCCTGTGTATTCTGAGGAGGAGTTTTGTGTAATTGTAGCAGTCAAGATTTTTGCTTAGATTGAAACAAAAGAAATTCAGATGATGGTTTATGAATCTTTATTGTTTTTAAGCTACCCATAGCTCTACAGTGTAACTTCATTTCAGGGACTAGATACTGTAACTTGGTGAACTGCTGTGAAGTGGAAGCTTCCAAGCACCTCCTCCTGTCATGCAGGGGGAGCAATGCACAAGCTCAGTTCTTGCAACAACCTGTGCATGTTGTGCAAATTGTAATGCGGTGTATTGTACAAACACAAGCAAGAGCTCTTTTGTTACTGTAATCAGTATAATATATTTCAGTTTCTTGCAAGAATATGGTACAAACAATGTAAAGTAAATTGAGAGTAGTGAAGTTAAATTCTTTGCCATTCTTCTTTATTTGATTAAGCTAAATTGCAATAATGTGCCAAATTGCATCCATGCTGGCTTAATTTTCAAATATACAATCATGCCAATGTGAGAGAAATCACATGTGAACTATGGAAGAAGTGTGTTTAAACTTCTGCTGGATCATAGTAAACCCATATATCGAGGAGTGTTCTTGTTGGAGGA